AGCTGTTTTTGACAGGGTAAAAAAGGTGTTTTTTACACTACCATTGAGAAATTTTAACCAAACTATGTTACAGACTTTTCATTAAGACCCTAAAGAATCATATCAACTTGTGGAAATTGGGCATCCTATGACCCCTTTAACGGTTTTGCTGTAACAGAATCTCATATCTGACGGTGCACTACAGATCAACAGAAAGCTGCAATACTCTTTAAAAGTTTGGGATTGGCTGCATTTATTTTATCATAAATACAATAAATATTGTGAAATATTATTTTAATTTAAAACAGCTGTTGTCTATGTGAATATCTGTTAAACTGTGATGTATTTCTGTGATGCGCAGCTGTATTTTCAGCATCATTACTCCAGTCTTCAGTGTCGCATGATCTTCAGAAATCATTCTAATATGCTGATTTGCTGCTCAAGAAACATTTCTGATTATTATCAATGTTGAAAACAGTTATTTTTGTGGAAACTGTGATGCATTTTATTTTTCAGGATTCTTTGATGAATAGAAAGTTCAAAAGAACAACATTTACTTTAAATCTTTTGCAACATTATAAATGTATTTACTATCACTTCTGATCAATATAATGCATCCTTGATTAATAAAATCATTATTTTTTAATACTTCAGTTAGTTTGTTTTCTGTGAAATCACTACTGTACTGCTGTGATGCTGTAAAATATATAGAGAAGAGTTGCCTGACTAGCATGGCTCATCGTATGTGAAGATCGAGATGCTCAAATGAATCTTTTATTGTGTCTCAGATTCCCAAGTTCGTCCTGAATCAGGTGCGCAAACACAACATGGAGAACCAGCGGAAGATGAACCGAGACCGAGTGGTTAAAAAACTACTGAAGAAGATGGCATACGACCGCGAGAGAGCCTCTGACAAACAGGAGAAAAACACTGAGGTGAGAGGAGTTACACAAACACAGAGCAGTACACGGAGCTGAAGGACGGATCAAATCTAAACGGGAAATATAATCAGACATCATAGACATTACAGTTGTGTGTGTGTCAGTGTCAGCTGAATGATCAGAGTTTGAGAATGTGAGCAGCCTCCTCTCTTACACCTAGTGGACAGACTGAGTGACTGCATGCAGTGACTGTCAGTCAGTTTGTCCTTCATCTGCTGCAAGCGATGCAGTGTGAGAGAACTGAATGGACAGATATAAGGCTCTCAGAGGGGGTTATTTCTACACACAGAAAAGATCCTGTGGATACAGACACTTGATTTGTATTTTAACCCTGTAAAGCCTGCTGTATTATTTGTGACCCTGGAGCACAAAAGCAGTCTTAAGTCGCTGGGGTATATTTGCAGCAATAGCCAACAATACATTGTATGGGTCAAAATTATAGATTTTTCTTTAATGCCAAAAATCATTAGGATATTATGTAAAGATCATGTTCCATGAAGATATTTTGTAAATTTCCTACCATAAATATATCAAAACCTAATTTTTGATTAGTAATATGCATTGCTAAGAACTTAATTTGGACAACTTTAAAGATGATTTTCTCAATATTTAGATTTTTTTGCATCCTCAGATTCCAGATTTTCTGAAAAAGCACATCAATGGAAAGATAGTTTATTCAGCTTTCAGATGATGCATACATCTCAATTTTGAAAAATTGACCCTTATGACTGGTTTTGTGCTCCAGGTTCACATATTTGATATGCAAGTTTAAATAATGATCAATATGATTAAAACTTGACTGTTAAACCCGTTTCACACAATCTACTCCATGCCTTCTGTCATTTTTTTTTTTATCTAGTCAAAGCTCTTTTAGTGTAATTATACAAGCGTCCAGCTTCAGCTGGAGCTTCACGTGTCTTTCTGCTGTCAGATCTTTACTGGTTTTGATCAAGTAAACGTCAGAATAACTGCAGCCATATTTCCAGATGAACACTTACTGGACTGAAGCAGCTTTTAGAAAAATCAGTGCGTCTCAAATCTGATCATCAGGATCTTTTGAGGAGCGCTTATTTGTTCATCTCTCAATCATCACTGGATTGCATTGCATTATATGTTTGGATCAATTCAATCTCATCTTACTAACACACATTATTGGAGATATAGAGTGACGACTGATATTTATGTAATTTTATACAAGTATCTGCTACACTGTTCAAGATCTCATTACAAGCAGTTCATCATATAAATACCAGAATCTGCAACAAAGTTTGGTTCTCTGAACAAAACTGAGCTGTTTTTATCTCCATATTCTCACTGTATCAGACTATATGAACCATAAAAGCCTGATGGATGGATGGAAATATGATACTCATCAATAAACATATATGCAAACTTTTTTTTAAATTTTTTAAAAATATTTTGTCAAGTTCAACAAACTGTTCCTTTAAAAATGTAGATTTTTCTTTGCATATGTTTGCATACGTGTCCCATGTTTGGCTGTAGTGTGGAGGTGTGTGTGTGTGTTTATGGTGTGTTTGCTGTGTGTGTTCAGGCTGAAGGAGGCTTCATAAGGGTCCAGGCTCCTCAGTTCTCGATGGTGTCCATGGCCATACAGCTGACGGAGGATTTAAAGGCCTCCGATGTTCTGACGCGCTTCCTCAGTCAAGAGAGGTGAGCAAAAACTCGAATAAGCACATCATAGGATGTGTTTGACAAGTGTGAGACCACTAGTGACTCGCGGGCTCTAATGGATGTATATCCAGAGTTGTAGTCTATTGTTTTAGGGGCAAAGTGTTATATTTTCTAGTGGTGACTGTGAAATGTTGTGCTCAGTGAGTTTGACTGTGTGTTGTGTCACAGGTCTCTGTCTGTGAAAAGAGAAGATCTGTGTCTCTATGAGATGGGAGGAAACATCAGTGAGTGTCTAATAAGCATCACATTAATTACAGCCACACAAAAAAAGTCACTCATCATACAAACCATGTATAGTTAGGATAGTAAAATAAATTGATCTTCAACTTAGGGGGCAATTAGATGCATTGACATTTAAGGGAGGAGAAACACTTCCCAAATCTTTGGTTGTTGATGTCAAAGGCTCAGACTGTAGTTTGCATATAGGCTTTATGTAGCATGTTTGTGATCTATGCAGCTCGTGGTAATATTAATACATTTCAGTTAGATTTTTTAGGGATTTTTGTGCCTCAAAAGTCTTGTGCCTTGATAGTTTTGCTAGAAAGTCGCCATGTGATGTGCAATTTAAAACCAGCAGCCGGATTTATGAAACCGAAAATACAATCAGAAAATACAAACTTAGAATTTATCCTCAACATTCTTAACTTCTTAAGTAGATTTTTGAATCGGAATGCTGTTGTGTGTGTGTTGGTGTGTTTGTCTAGAGGAGAGATGTCTGGATGAAGAGACGTACATCAAAGCTGTCCTGGAGCTCAACCCCAGTGCAGAGTGGGTCATTAAATCTGTCCAGCACTGACTGGGCCTCCCACAACAAGACATGCCAATCACCCCATCATGCCACGCGCCTTACAGTCCACCACAAACAGACCATTAAAGGGAAAGCAGCAGGATTCAGAGCCTAACACGAGCGATCTGTATATAGTTCACCTCCTCTGACATGCATTCAGCCCGTCCTCTGCCACTGCTCAAACCAAACAAATCGCACACGTCAAACACAAATATGGTTTTCAGTAGATTCTTGAGCAGCAGTTGTATGAACATCCTTTATAGTAGAAACCAAAAAAGCTCATAGTGTCCGTGGTGATTTAGTCTGGTTTGGCACTTTGGCACATTTTAATCGCTTGTGAAGGATAGGTTGTTTGATTAGTAAAAAATCAGAGACTAATTTACAAAGTTTTCTCAAAAATTTCACAAAAAATCTCCAGGTCACATTTCATCCTAGAAGAAGAAATAAACTGTATTTTGCAAGAAAATGTTGCCTGTTTTTAAGACTTTTGCATTGTAAAATTTTCATCATAATTCAATACGTTTCCACTCTAAATTCTTATTATTGTAACACCCAAAAAATCTCATCAGGCATCTGGAGTTGTTCTTTTGGGTTCTTTTTTAAATTCTCATTCTCATTACGTTCTCACTGTGGTTGAAGGAGTGAAATACTTCACGATTTCAGTAATATTTTGTGTTTTTATCATTGCAGTAAGCAGTCTTTTGTATTAAGGCAATAAGGACCTGGGGATATGCTTAATTATCGTGAAAATTGTTACAATGCACATTTTTATATATATATATATATATATATATTTTGTGTCTGTGTAATTTATATATATATATAAAAAATTTGCTCGTTAATTAACTTGTTAATTTTTCTTTTGGGGTAAAACATGACCCAGATACGTTCTTTATAGATTTTATGAGATGCACCCATCCACAAATCTCATTCATATTTAAATTATATATATTGCATGCAAATATTGTCTCAGACAAGTGAAGTACTGAGGTACACCTACGTTTCATACGTTTCTTCCTTAAACATTTGATGACATGCGAGTGATCTCTTAGTATTGTAGCAATCTCTGCTTTAAATCAGTCACATGATACATTAGCCATCACTGCCAGTAAACGTTTGCACTCTTTTACATGTTCAGTCGCTCCCAGGGATCTTGGATGTACTTTTTTTTTCATGTTGGAGATAATAATGTAAGTCAGATGATATTGTATATCTAAAGGATTCGTGACCGAAACAACTGGAATCAAGTTAGATCTCAGACCTCATAAAGTACTTCAATGGAGGGAAGCACTTGGCACTTAAACTGACCGTGTCTGATTTTATTTGCAACGATGCAGAGTAGTTTTGAACTGTGATTTTTATTTTTTACTGCTACATCTGATGTCATGCTTTTATTGTGCTGGAAAACTGTGAATATGGCGGAAAATGACTGCTGCTGTATGTTTTAATGCTTCTAAAATAACCACTAAATGTTTTTGTAAATAAATTTGTAATTCTTCATCTCCGTCCACTGGATTTTATTCACTGGCCTGATTGTCAGTGAAACTGTGCAGTTTAGAGAATGAGAATCGTTTTAGTCTTTACTCATTTACAGTGTTCCTGAAAGGCTTTCTGGACTGGTTAACCTGTGACAGGTTAGACGCCGTGTGGAATGTAACGTGGATGAAAACGAGGCTTTGAGGAATAGACTTTACCCTGGATTTTCACAGACAGGATCACATATGAGAGGAGCTCAGAGAAGCCATGGAGGAAGACTTTTGGTTGGCCTCAAGAATGTTCTGGCAAATCATCATATGGCTTGGGCTGGTCCACCCAGCGATGGAGTCTGGAGTTGGAAGGAAAGGTTTGAGGATCTTATGAACCTGAAGAACATGCCTTCACAAGAAGAGGCAGGGTTGAAGTTCTTGCCCTGAGATGCTGAAGGCCCTGAATGTAGTTGGGCTGTCTTGGTCAACACGCCGGCTCAACAGGGATTCAGGGAAAGCGGCTGGCAATTGGCAGATGGGTGTGATGGTTTTCCTTTAAAAACAGGAGACCAAGAGGGTGTGTTCCAAATATTGATATATCTCGCACTTTACTTGGGTAAAGCCTATGCCAGGGTACTGGAAAGCAGAATACATTGTAGTGAACAGCACATTCCAGGACCCAGTTTATGGCGGGGGCCCCTATCTGAGCACAATAATTGGCAAAGGTTTTCTACATTTTGATTGGATCTGGGTGGACTAGCATAATCAAACCAGGACAAATGCTAGGACAACAGCCAGACACCTCTTAGAGGGTAAGAAGACAGACCTCTGGTACCAAGCCCGGGAAGGACAGGACTTCTCATTGGTCAAAATGCAGTTTCTGCCCTTCACCCACCTAGAGACTGATCCCTAAGGTTTTGGCTTGTGACCACCATAAAAATTCCTTAGGACCTCCTGATGCAGCAGCAGTGAGTGAAACAAAGAGAGATCCATCCAAATCCATTCATAACTGGTTTTTTTTTTTTTTTTTTAAACACCCTTTTTATAATTATTCAGAGAAATATGTATTCTCAGTGACAGCGATGTGCAGCGCAACATCTTACACAAACTCAGCTGTTAATGGACAAATGAATGCATGCATGACAGTTCAATCTTTCTCCATCATGTTTGGACTTAATGCGTTCGTAACATTGTCAGAGACTGTAATAGATGAGACGGTAACAGAAACACCAACGTTCTGAGTCTCGTCCAGAGAGACAAGAGCAGATACACCGTTCTGAGTCTCCGGCCTGTAAGGAGAGAGACATTAACAGATACATTCAATGTCCTGAGTCTCCGACCTGCATGGTAGGAGACAATAGCAGATACATTCAGAGTCTCTGGCCCATGAGGAACAGATGTCAACAGACCACGTTCTGAGCCTCCAGCCTGTGAGGAAAGAGATAAACTGCATTCACAATCTTCGTCCAGAGAGAAAACAACAGATGCAGCATGTCCAGAGTCTCCATCCTAGAGAGACGAAGCGGATTGACCAAGTTCTGAGTCTCTAGCCCAGAAAGGCAGAAGACATACAGACATTTGCAACAAGGTTCAGCTTCGGTGAGCAAACCTTCACTTCAAGCTACTTTCGTCTGCATGTTCCAGACCAAGGACCTTCTGCACCGACTCCAGGGCCACATTTACTTGTTCCAGATTTTAGGACCCTTTGGTGCTCCAGGAGATCAGCATCCTACAGCGCTTCATGTTCAAGGCTGTTGAAGCAGATTCCTGCTCTTTTCCCCAGTTGACAGTTTCCACCAGCACAACCAGCGGAAGAAGTCATCACCACCAGACTGCTCATTCAACCACAGAGAATGTAAATATCACTTATCCAAACCCCTTCCAGAGACCGTGGCATTATTGCATATTATCAGTATATGATTTGCTACTTTACATTAGATATAGCTGATATATAGCTGATCAGTTAAGAACAAATAATCTTTCATTCTTCACAAGATGCTAATTGATGGACTGGTGTGGATTATTGTGATGTTTTTATCAGCTGTTTGGACTCTCATTCTGACGGCACCCATTCACTGCAGAGCATCCATTGCTGAGACACTGATGCAATGCTACATTTCTCCAAATCTGATGAAGAAACAAACTCATCTACATCTTGGATGGCCTTAGGGTATGTATATTTTAAGCACATTTTCATTTTGGGTTGAAATATTCCTTTAAGCAATTCAATTTACATCTTAACTCTGATACAATTAAACTAGCTTGATGTTCCGTGCATAACATCTGTGCTGTGTAGTTGAGACAGTGATGTTTGAAAAATGTAACAGTAAATTAAGCTTGATGTGAAGTATATTTAGTATACATTCTAATGTCAATACACAACACATCCTCGAACACAAGACACGTTTGAAAGATGAAGGACAGGTTTTAATAATGACACCAAACAGTAAACACTCAGAAAGACAAATTGATATGGAAAATATGTAATTTAATAAACCCTAAACCCCACACAGACCCTTTTAAATTGATAAAAACAATGAAATACACTAGGAGTTTACAGCAGTTCGGACATGTGCTGTTTTCCAAATGCCCTGCACTGACCTACAGACAGCCATTACATTCATGCAAACAAGAATCATGCAGATTGTTCTGTAATACTGCTAACAAATCAGGCCAAAAGCATAACAGTTGAAGCGATGTAACTTTAAAATTATGTATAAATAAAATGTGCGTATTTGCCCTAAACTTGATCATTTTTAATATATGCTTGTGTAATGTAATTGAAACTGTCTGTTATTTTGGGAGGAGGTAGAGGATTTAATTGTGCATGTACGGACCTGGTAAAACCACTTGCATTTAAAGTGTTACAGTTCCTTGTATTGTGTCAATAATATGAACAAGCATGTTTAGTTGTAGACATTTGTTCATGATGTCCAATATGTTTCTGCAGAGGATCGGAAGAACATGCCGTTGTTGTTTTCTACATGATAAGAACGTGTTTGCGGCAGTGTGATTGCACAGTGGCTTGTAACGCGTGTGTGTACTGGTGAAATGGTGTCTGGATGCAGTGTGGCGCAGACAGCTGTCCGCCTCTCATGAGGTCACACACAGCATTCAACATGGCCTTCAGCTGGGCTTTATCTGCAGAGAGAGAGGTCAAGCACAAGAGACATAACATACATGAGTGTCGACTCAAGACATCAAGATGTGAAACTACCATGTTCTTACAGTTTCGTCATATTCATTCAACCCTTTATTTGACTTTCAGTAGCTCTTAGTATTGTGTTTGTTGGTTTACCTTCCCTGTGTTTTCTTTTCCACTGCGTCAGCCAGAAGCCCGTCAGAGTCACATTGTGGAATATAAAGGATTTCTGCATGACGAAATAGAATATAAATGTTTACAAAGTTTGTTTTATAAACAGGAATGTTCAAGGTTCAATACAAGTTAAACTGTTTTGGTACATACAAGGAAATAAAATACTGTACATGAAGATCATAAACTCACAGCTGGGATCTGGAGGGGTCTTTTGGACATCCCTCCGTATGTGACCATTGTGCCTCCATAACTGAAGATAAAAAAGATTTTCTTTCATTTTCTTATAAACTACTGTAAAACTGCAATATGTGAGACACTTACTCAAGATTAGAGAACACAAGTCCTCCGCTCAAGCCTCCTACACAGTTCAAGCCCAGTTTAGGTTTGGGAACCTCCTAAGAAAAATGTCTGATTACGCAATTCTGTAGAAATCACTGAAAATGTATTTTGTTGCAGAAGAGTAGAATCCCCCACCTCAAAGACCCGATGAAGCCCTGTTGACATGACTTCCTCTTCTGTCACCACATAATCAGCTCCCAGTGACTGAAGCTCATCGATCAGCTCAGCACGGTTTGGTCTGAGTTCAAGAAACAGTTTGAGAGATCCATTATATGGGACTTTGTACCACATGGGATTATTACAAAGTACTTCTTTGTCTGTAATGAATTTGTTGCCTGTTGCTTTGCTCCAAAGGTCTTCTGTACCTGTCTCTGATGATGTTGATGGTTTTCAGGCCCAGTGCTGCAGCGATCTGAATAACAGCCTGTCCCACTGCACTGTTAGAGGCGTTCTGAATCACTGTACAACCTACAGACACACAGATCATAACAAACCACTGATAGCCATGGATAACATTTGGTAAGATAGAAATAATAAACCATTACATGAGTTTTCATACCAGGGGTGAGTGTTTGAAAGTCATGCAGCATCCTGTACGCAGTGCAGGGGTTCACGAAGATGGTGGCGGCCCCCAGAAGAGAGACATCTTTAGGAACAGAGATGATCTCAT